ATTTATCAGATACATTTATCTAATACATTGCACACAAATAACACATTGGTACATTCAACGATAACTTAATAATCTAAGTGATCCAGAAAATTATAGCACATTGATACATTTAACGATAAGTTAATCATACTCATAAGTAATCCAGAAAATTAATGACACTATGTAACGAAATCGAACCCGGATGATTACTCGTTTAACAAACAGAAGTCACTTTCTACGTTTTAGTCGCACCGGTTTTCCTCTTACGGGCCTGTGCCTTTTTCGCCTTTTTCTTCGTAATCTCTGAAATTATTTTCATCATTATGCCGCTCGAAATGGCCCATGGGCCACATAAAAGGTGAGCCAAAAACTGTACACTGCTCATGGCTTAGCCATCGGAATTCACGTCGCTCAGGGTTCCACTGTATGAGAAAACACTACATAAACATGAATATGTCCATCTACAAACAGCAAATCCTCCACGGTCAAGAGAAAGTTATGGAATCTATCCATCGTTAAGAACGTGGCCTGAATTATTTGCTTCAACCTAGAAACTTCCGAGAATGACTGTTCTGCGCGCAGGTTTCGGGAGCCTTGCTCTGGTACTGCAAAAAAGCAGCCAGCCGGCTACTCTTTTGCAGTACCAGAGCAACAGGCCAGGCTCCCGAAACCATGGACATGGACCATGTCGACATGGCTCATGATTTGGTTATCTTGTTGAGCCGATGGTGTAAACTAGAGCGCTAAGCGCCCTGGAATTTGAGAGACGGGCAAGAGAATCGTAATTGGCCGGGCCGTCTGGCCATCAGCGTGGGGAATTTTCAATGTGGGCGTCACGCGGCGATGGGCGCAGACGAATTCAAACTGTGCGTCGGTTTCTCGATTGGAGCAGGGAAACTCGCAAGAATCGCTGCAATTTTTTGATTAATTCTGATTTTCCCTTGAATTGAAAACAGTGCGTGCGACTGGCGCAAAATTAAGGGCAGATGGTGCCAGACGGAAAGTATGAAGAAACTCAGTCAGAAGCTAAGCGACTGTATGAAAATTAGAATACGTGCGTCTCTCACATATTACCAATATCATGAAAGCCCGGCATGCATTATCCGCAGTCCCTAAGGCTTAAAAAAGAGAGCGGGGTTTTTTTCTGCTGAAGCAAGTGGGACCCGGGGCAATTTTGTTCTCTAAATTGCATGTACTTCGCTTTAAAGTTTTCGACACAGTATCGGAACTGCTATGTAAGATGAGGCACTGCGCTCCTCTGCCAGCTGTTGAAGCGGCTATATGACAACAATTGGCAGAAAACAGGTGACACGAACGACAGGATCCTTGTCGCTAGCTCCTTCCAGCAGCTGGTGGAGAACGGGTGTGGCGGCGCGCTAAACTCATACCGCCTGACACATCCCTTCGTCCGCAGCGAACTGGACTTTATATGAAAGCTGGACGTCTAATGCCAATGTTCACTGGTGGCACAGCTATACCTCAGTTAACTGCCACAGAATATTAAAGTTGGCACGATAAATCCCCCAAGACGACTAGGATCAATACTCCTGGCAGGATAGAATTCCGCGACCCTGGGCAGGCGCTGCATAGCGGTTTCCCCGAGGAAGGTGCCCTTATAAGGGCCCTATCAAGCCACAACTTTACGTCCCCACGCCCGCCCGCCCACAAATGGACGACCGTTCCTGACGCTCGTATTCATTCATTTGCTAAGCAAATTATGAAGCGAAGGGATTGGTATGAAGCGGCCGTGATGCTGCATGCATACATGGGTACACATATGCAGCCGTATCTTCGGTAGCGGTGATTGGTAAGATGCCTACGGGAAACTCGTCCGAAATCGATTTTCAAGTCACTGAGAACGGAGGCTTTTTCTTCGCCGGATTTTGACCGTTTCACTCCGTTCTTTCGCCATTTCCCCACTATACAGCGCCCTACTAGCATTTTAGGCTAAGTAGGAAACCATCGTGCCAACTGCCTTTAATGAAAGTGTTTCAATATTCTTGTGCCTTACGAGGTTGTTAGGTGGAACATTTATTTAATGGCCTAACGTTTCGACTTAATCGTCGTCTTCAGAGGCCTGAACGTGTTTCAAGTATTAGATTTGCAACCTACCCCACCAAGCACCTCGTCACTCTAGCGGTTCCGACGTCGTGTCAGGAACCCCTCGAGAAGACGCCAACCGCAAAAAACAGAAACAAACAAGAAACAACAGAAACCGAAAGGTTAGGCCTTTAAAATAAATGTTCCACCTAACAACCTCGTAAGGCACAAGAATAACTGAAACACTTACTAACATGCCGAGGTTGCAAGAAGAGAGAAGCTGATGATTGAAGGCAGTTGGCACGATGATTTGGTGCTCGGCCTAAAATGCTAGTAGGGCGCTATATAGTGGGGAAATGGCGAAAGAACGGAGTGAAACGGTCAAAATCCTGCGAAGAAAGAGCCTCCGTTCTCAATGTGTTAGAAATCAATTTTGGACGAGTTTCCTGTAGGCATCTTGCCAATAACCGCTACCGAAGGTACGGCTGCATATGTGTACTCATATATCTTTTTATATCATATTTTGAACTTTAGCAAGCATTATAAGGCTCTAGTGGGAAAGGGCTTGCGGAGAATCTTCAATATTTTCAAAGCACTTAGAACTAAGGACACCAGCTTGCTGTTACGAACTTATAAACTTTACGTTCGCCCTATTTTGGAATGTGGGACAACAGTTTTCAATCCCCACCTGAAAAAGGACATAAAGGCTCTAGAAAGTGTACAGAACAGTTTTACTCGTAAGTTAATGCTCAGATGTTCGGGGCTTAGCTATTCCAGTATTCCTTCAGGCTCTGTTAGGAATTCCACCTACGGTCTCAAATCATTGGAATGGAGGAGGAAAAGATATGACTTACTTATGACCTTCAAAATTGTGAGGAACTTGGTTAAATTAAATGTTCATGACTTTTTCAGTGTGTTGCCAGCTAGTACAAGGGGAGCTTCGTTTAGATTGACTGTAACCACTGCTAAATCTAGATATCGGTCGAAGTTCTTTAGTAGTAGAGTGTGCTCCTATTTCAACTCTCTGTTACGTTCTAATATATTTCCTTCTAAGTATGCCACTTTCAAGAAACATGTTGGTGAGTATGTTTAAACGATCTTTACATTATCAATGTTTTACCTATTTGCTGGGTTTCGTTATGTTTGTTTTTCTTGTTGTTTTTACATGTTGTGTTGACATGTCCAATAAATAAATAAATCTCACGATCCTCGAAGATTTAATGATTAATTTATTATCGGCAGTTAAGTTG